TCGGATCAGGCTGGCTGCCAGCACTGGAGAAAGCCCTTGATAAATCAGGCTCTCTGCTAATCTCTTTCTCCTTCAATATTTCAAGAGAGTTTTAGTCACTATACTCACTGTATTTGTATCTTGGGGGCTCAATGTCCCTTTTCACAATCGTTCCGAGTGCCTAGAGGAGCAACGTCAACTGCCTGCATCCAAGTTGAGGGATCTCGCCAAGATGTCGTCATCTGATCCCACAACCTCATCCGGCAGCGACAGTGACAATAATGACAACCAAGTTGAGTTGATCGTAGCGGTTGTGGCATTGGTCATTTCAGTTCTCGCCTTCATCATTGCGATTTTCCAGGCCCTCCAGCAATACTACGCGTCGGCGACAGGCTACTCATCATGCACTCCAAAAGTCATGGGAGATTGGGCGAGGTTCACACGACGACGATTCAAATGGTACGAGTTCCGCTTTGAGGTGGAATTTGAAGTTCCCGTCATATTCGTTGCGCCGCCGACGAACCCGCGGGGACCCCTCGGCGTGCACGACGACAAGGAGATTACCTACATGACCGGAACGACAGATAGTTACAAGAAGACGTATACCTGGGACCAGGAAGAGTACGACAAGCACTCCAAAACTTTGAGGGCTGGGATGACGCGCCAAGCTATCCACACCGCCGACAACGAGCTCGCAAACTGGACGAGTCTGCTCATGGCTATTCAGCGTATGGAGAGGGAGTCTCGAACGTGGCAAGACAAGGAGTATTTCGGATACAACCCTCAATGGGAAGCCCAGACACCGTGTCACCCGACCCAGGCCAGCACCACGGTACCCTACACTCTTACCGTTGGCATGCAGAGGAAGAAGAAGTCTTGGGATAGTATGCCAGACAACATGAAGAAACCTTACGCAACGACAACGATCTCACATCTGGTGGAAATGGCGGCAATGTTAGGCGTTCATTGGAAAGAGTTTAACCGAAATGAAGACCGTTACCGAGGGCAGGGCAATGGTTTCAGCATCACCGGCTACGACGTCGACGATCTCGGTGTTGTGTTTACATTCGAGAAGACTGGTCCGACTTGGTTTCACGAGAACAGGGTAGTGCCGAACAATAAGGTCAAGGAGCTCTGCTTTGGTTATTGTCCGACGATTTTCCGCCAGCAGAACAACGACAACTACAAGTACGCTGACGAACCAAAGGATATCGGAACGCTACAGCTTGGCAGCATGTCGGCCATTGCAGAGACTCTAGTGGTGATCGGTTGCAACACTAACACTGTCCGGCATTTCCGAAAGTCTACTCCAGATACAAGACACATCCACCTCTTCCCGAGTAAATCTTGCCAAGAATCATTATATTCACGAGATTCGAATACTGACTGTTACGTTTTAGTTGCTTTTGAGATCCTAGGCATGGTGGGTGCCGTCCTACAGATCCCCGGCACGGCTTTCCGCATGCTTCCCAACCCAACCATTTGGCATTGGGACCGGAAGTCATTTTCACTGAGGACTTTCCTCAGCGACTACGTCCACATAGTGGGTGAGTCGGCAGCAACAGAACCAATGCTCAGAAGTACAGAAGGATCTCGAATTAGCGTGATTCTCAAAGAAGCCGGCAAAATTGAAGACAAGTTCGAAGAGCTCGAATCTCGTGACGGCCCGGAAGCGATTCTGAGACGAACAAACAACACCGAGGAAAGAATCTACTCCAATGACCTCGTCATGGCTTTGCATTCGGCCATTTCGAAATGCGACGAATTCCTTCAGAATCAAGAGAGGATAAACCTTGTCCAAAACGTGCTCCGCGTGCACCTGCAAGAAATCTTGCGTCTTTTGAACGACAAAGAAGGGGAATACAAGACGGTTGTGGTCACTACAGGAGATCAAGCTCGGTCAAAGAGGGACTCAAGACACGACCTTGTTGTTCCAGGAGCATCCCCTATCTTGAGGACGCGAGAGGAGAACGAGGATATCGAGAAGGAGATATCGCTCCTTCAGAAGCTGGATTCCGCGTCTTCGAGCGAGAGGCATGGTGTTCTAGCCGAAATTTACCTTCTCTCGGTGCGCAAGCGGGTCATTGATGTTGTTTGCAAACAGCTGCGGGTTGATAAAGCTCGTAAAGAGCGTGGAGCTAGATCGATCATCTCTGATGCTTCCACAGAGGTGATCGCCCATGACCAGCAACAGCAAATCAATGATGTGTGGTGCATGCTTGTCTTCCGCATGGTATGCTGGTTGCTTCTGCATGATTTCCATGGTAAGGATATCCAAGTTGAGAAGAGCGAGATATTTGGAAGCCGTCTGCCGGTTTACATCACATAGGGTTGGGATGTGGTCATGAAGTATAACACGAATTACGATGGAATGGGAAAATGTCTCAATAATGAAACTGTACATTTCTTGACTGATCCTGTTCACTACACTTCATGGCTCCTTCTGGGTTTATCATCTCTGATGTCCCATGTAATTTTCATCTACTTTCAGGACTGGCTACCTATTAATATGGCTTCGCTTGCCTAAAAGGATATACACGCGACCATAGAAATTACACAAGCGCTAATTATCAAGTATCTAAGCCCCATTCGTGCCATTGGTGCCGTTCTCACGCTTCTTCAACTCCTCGCGGACCGCAGGCAGAATATAGCGACCATAGTCAATAGCATCGTTGAGGTTGTCATATCCACGGATAGAAATCAACTCAGCGCCAAGATCGACATAGTCCAAAATGGAGTCGTTGATGGTCTTGGGAGATCCTACCAGTGCCGTAGAGGCTCCGCGAGCGTTAGTCGCAGTGACGGTGGGGTACCACAACGCCCGGTCCTGAACCTCGCCCTTCTTAGCGATGTCAAGCAGACGCTGCGAGCCGACATTCTGAGGCTCGGGTCCGTTCTGACCAGGCTTGCCCTGTCCGGCAGAAATGTTTCCCTTGAGCGCATCGAGCGTGCGGTGTGCCTTGGCCCATGCAAGCTCCTCCGTCTCGGCGATGATGGGACGGAAGGTAACCCAGATGCGGGGCCGGTCCTTGCGGCCGGCCTTCTCGGCCTCGGCGTAGATGCGGTCAATCTGTTCCTTTGTCTCCTTCAACGGCTCACCCCACAGTCCGAAAATGTCGGCGAGGGAACCACCAATACGGTAGGCCTCAGGGGATGAACCGCCAACGGAAACAGGAATTGTGCCCTTTGTCGGGCGGACGCTGCTGTGAAAGTCTTTGAAGGTGTAGTACTTGCTCTCCCAGCTGAAGGGCTCCGGTGATTCCCACGCTCGGCGGAGAATCTTGATGTAGTCCTCAAGGCGGCCATAACGCTCGTCCTTGGAAAGGAAATCACCCTCCTTGGCTTGCTCTGCATCGCTTCCACCGGCAATGAAGTGCACGACGACACGGCCCTTGCTGAGTTGGTCGAGTGTTGCCAGGGCCTTCGCGGCAACGGTGGGGTAGAGGGTGTTTGGCCGCAAGGCGATGATGACGCTGACGTTCTTGGTGACCGCTGCGATGGTCGCACCAATTGTGAAGGGATCAAATGAGTTTGAGCCGTAAGGAACGAGTGTGTAGTTGAAGCCGTAGTCGTCCAAGTTCTTAGCGTAGCGGACTAGGAACTCGGGATCAACGCCAGCACCAGGGATCGGGTTGATCTCCGTTGAGGCGTTGGGGAAAGTTACGCTGATGAACTCGGTCGGCATTTTGCTAAGTGTTTTCTTGGGTTTGGGTATCAATACTGCAGAATAGTCTTCTTCCTGAAATTGCTATTCGTGAATTATGTGGTCGCCTATATACATCCGTTGCACGATATGACGACAACTGCAAGATAATCACGCCTTACACCCCGAGCCGAAATCGGCAAGGGGTTCCCCAGTGAGATGTCACCATAACCCAATCTAAATCCAGCACACTTGATCAATGTGGCAAAGAACATCTGACACCTTTATCGTTAGCTGTTTTGGAGAGCCTCAAGAAAAAATCGCCAATTCTTCAACGTTGCTTGTTGTCGGGCGGGATGCGATCGGTGCTCGGCTACTTGGCGGTGCGGCCCCAGACCGGGCCCGTTCCGTCAAGATATGCCAACCGGAGCACATCAAGGCCAGAGACCATGATTAACTATTCATCAGTAACTCTCAGCCTCTGAAACTGCCGAAAACACCTATCAGCACCGAGTTACCCCGCTCCATGTCAACACGCAATTCTCAGGATCAGTTCCACACATCCACAACTTGGGGCCAACGTCGGACATGCCCGCACACTTGAAGCCCCGAACGCTCGACATTGGCTGATTAAGGAGGCGCAGTGCATCCGACGCGGATTCTGTCGTGCCATTTAATTACAAATCAACGATTGTGCAACAGACAAATTACTATGATGATTTGTCAACAGATATGGAAACATGCTCCGGGCGCACCACCACAAGTTGCAACCCCTCTTTCGGTCAGAGCCAAGGTTGCTCCAAGGGCGGTCTTCATTGACGGATCGAATCAAAAACGATTTAACATGTTGAGTTCGGGACCATTCATCTTTGTGAAATAGCATCTATATAGCGTTGAAGTTGTGCTTTGCAACCGTTCTATGATGAATACGATTCAATTGCAATATATACGATGAGCAAGATAGAGTCTTCAAACTTCGACGTTCCCCATAATCGCCCAATCACTACGAATAAAAACACCATGATAATTGCCCAAAATTTTGAATCCTCACTAAATGGAATGGAATCCATTCATATTTGCACAAACCGATTCACCTGAGTTCGGAAGGAAGCCAAAGCAATGAGTGCACTCCACAGATGAAAGCAACGTCTTGATTTTGGAGGTTTATTTAAAATACAGCTGCATGAAGTACCATGTTGTAAAAGAAGATTCACTCTAATACTCTATAATCAAGTCGAAAAGTGAATAAAAAAGTAAATTGTTAGGGACTAGTAATTATGCGTGTTTGAGTCCTTCGAGACAGACGCTGAAATTCCGGGGGCCCTCATTGCCCTTTTATCTTGAGTGATTGAAGCCGAGAAAGCTGAGAGTCGGGTTTTTAGGAAGACTTCTTCTTCCAAAGTTGAGCAAGGGAGTGCTTCTTCGGCACCCGAGCCAGCCAATACAGGAACAAAGCTGCAAACAAGTTGAAGATTATGTAGACCCACATCAGCCCGTACGACCGCCATCGTCTACCGTATGACGTAGATATGGTAGTCAAGAAAGCATCTGTCGTAGCCAGAGGGCAGAATTGACAGATGTCGGTGCTGTTGGGGTTGAATACACTGCCGCCGGCCATTTGCATGTACGGGGCCATGTAATCACCACATGCGGTTCCATTCGCGGGACTGAATTGCAGTAGCTCGAGTTGAGAGCAGTTGACCTTATTGTGGGCCAATCCCGTTGACAAGAGACCTTCGACCAGGTAAGTCAAGGGTGAGACGCGGTACATGAACTTCCAGAAACCTGGCAGGGCATTGACCGGCACAATGACACTGTTGATTCGTGAGTTTGAAGACTTCAGGTTAATCAAATCGGTGTTGAACTTACCCGCAAAAGATCAGACACAAAGCAAAGAGTAGAAGAGAAAGAGTCGCTCCGATCTCTGCTGTGGGTACACCAGCGACAACCATATCGGCAAATGTTGACTCGAAGAGCATGAAGGCCCAGATGAGTAGGAACATGAGACCGCCACGTTCCGTAACCGCATCCGTCGGTATGGCATTGCGATACATGCCGACCAGATAATAGAATGGGAAAAAAATCACGATAGCAGCCAAGGTGTTCCAGGGAAGCTCGACAATGATGTTGACCAAGACGAACACATACCATGAATACGCTCTGGAGGCGCGTTCTCTCGCCTCGTATTGCTCGCGTTGCAGGATGAAGTTGGGCATCGTCTGATAGACGAGGAAGGCAAAGACCACCAACAACATGAAGATGGAAAACATCTGACTCTGGAGTCCTTGCATCGTGAGCGGTGAGTTGTAGAAGGACACCCCGATGAATAAGCTCTGTGCAAAGTGTAAGTTGAAGGTCCATTAGGTCGTTGAACAGTAAGCATTGAGACGTACCGTGCCACCAGACAAAATCAACTTGGAGTAAATGTACGAAGGCGTGCGCCAATACTGTTGAAAGACACGCTCAGTGCACAATGCAAGCTGAACATGAAACGGCGCAGCATAAGTGGACATCTCATCGGGACTGGACGTCGAGCCATTCGCCGCCACGCCCTGCTCCAGACGCTCGAGCTCGCGGCGCATCTCGGCACACTCATGGCTCTCCTTCCAGGTCTCGGGCCAATCCCTCTCAGCCTTGGCGCCCGGAGCTGCGCCGATGACTTTGAGCATCCACTCGGCGGGGTTCTCGTCCTGTCCGCAGGGCGTTGCTCCGTACTGCTCAAAGTAGCTCGTGAGCACGCGGGAGTTCTCGCCAATGTCGCCAAAGTAGACTGTTTTGCCGCCATGTGCAAGGAGAAGAAGACGGTCGAATTGCTGGAATAGGAGAGCAGAAGGCTGGTGGATTGTCACAAGGATGGCTTGGCCGTTTTCAGAAAGCTTTCGGATCAGTGATGAGATTGACCATGCTGTCTGACTGTCGAGTCCCGAGGTCGGTTCGTCAAGGAAGAGAAGGAGATCAGGTTTCGCAGCGAGCTCGACGCCAATAGTCAGTCGTTTTCTCTGCTCAACGTTTAGGCCTGTGGTAGTACGGATTAGCTTAACAGTCCTTGAAAATGAGTTGCAAAGACCAGTTGAGGACTTACCTTCTCCGGGCACTCCGACAATGGCATCGGCATAGGCCTCCATCTCCAGAAGCCCAATCACCTCTTCAACATAGTCGTACTTCTCTTGCTTGCTGACAGCCGCTGGCTGGCGTAGCATGGCGCTGAATCGCAAGGCTTCCCTAACAGTGGATGTCTCGAGGTGGATGTCTTGTTGCTGAACGTACCCGGCCTTTCGCTGGAAAGACTGGTCTCTGAGAACACCATTGACGAGGATATCTCCTGTCACAACACCCATAGTCACCCTGTTAGCCAGGACATCAAGTAGAGTAGTCTTGCCAGCGCCAGTAGAGCCCTGAATCGATCGTCAGCAGAAATCCTTCTCTTGAATGGAGGTAGACTCACCATCAAAGCAGTCAGAGTTCCCGGCTTTACCCATCCGCTAGCTTTGTCAAGAATTCTGCGGTTGTTGCCCTTGATTGATATGTCGTAGCAAACATCTTTCCAGTGGAATACCGATTGGCTTTTATGAATTGCGGATTGTTTGACACCCGACTGAGAAGCATGTCCCTCGGACTTCTCATGTTGGTAAACGCGTTCAGGTTGGCCAGTCTCTTCGTCGGATGAGTTCTTTGATAGTGTCGGGACCGAGTGACCACGCCGGAAGATCAACACCTCGCCCTTGGAGCGGTCTGTGGTGATGTACTCCGCCGCGAGCAAGTAAACGCACATGAAGAAGACGATGAAGGCAATCAAAATGCCGAAGTTCCTGAGTGAAACGTTAAGCTTTTTTGCGAAGAACCTTTCAAAAAAACAGAACATACCTCCAAATGTGAGACTTGTAATAGCTGAAAGTGGCATTCATGTAGAAGTCACCGTCAACGAAGTCTGCGCCTGGTGCAGCGCCAGCGACCGAGCACGTCCTCTCGTTTGGCGCAGCGTTCGGGTAGGCCGGAACGAATGAGGGACAGGGGAACTGCCGACCATTGAACTCATTGGCGACCAGACTCTCGAAAGCGTAGGCTATGGGGTTGATGTAGTTGATCCAGCGGAGCCATCCCTTCATATCGCGGGTCGGGAGGATGAAGCCGGTGTATATGACGAGCGATAAGATGAAGATAGCGGCTGGCGTCAAGGCTTGGTGAATGGTACGGGACGTCTGGCCGATGGTTCTGATGATCATGGACATTGAAAGTGTAGTGGTAAAGCCGAAGAGGAGGAAGATAAAAAAGGCATCGGCCTCTTGGCGGAGCTTTGCCATGAAGTAGAGAGGAATATTGAAGGCCAAGGTAGATAGAATCTTACTGGGAAGATCGCAGATCGTGGATGAGATTGCTTCGGAGGCGGGATGGTACAGAGCATAGCGAGCGTGCTTTTCGACAATAGGTCTCTGGACGTACAGCGTGAGGATCTGATCATCGCCATATTAGTAAATCTTTCTCGTCGTAGGGCTACTTGGAGGAGAATTCGAAACATACCTCAAGAGCACTGCTGAGACCGTTGAACAAAATCGCAAAGAACAACAGAATGCAACGAGAGTTCATACTTGATGCATCGGAGGGCAGGTCGAAGAAGATGCTTCCAAGAACCAAAGAGATGACCAAATTACCACCAACAGTGACGACGAAGAACAGCCAGTCACCCAAGAGACGCTGGTACCCACGCGTCATGCACAACCAGATTTGCATGGGCATGGAAATGGTGTAAGGTGATTGCGGAGTCCTTCTCGACTGTTAGCAGGTTATTATACCACGACCTCCTGCCTGCATCACCACTTACACAAGAGATGCTTTGTGAGCTTGGCGCGTCGCGACAAACTTTTCTTCCCCTGAGCCATCAAGAGGATGTTCCTCCTCAAAGGCAAGTATCTCATCCATAAGACGTGCCCTGACATCGCTTCCCTTCCATACGGTTGCAAACTCGTCTGGCGTTCTGGGCACTCTGTTCTCAAACCCTTCTCGCACCATTCGTTCTGCGGGGTTGGTGAGGGAAGTGAGGAAATCAGCGGTGGTTTGGCGATCGGGGCAGTGGTAACCCATGTCGACAAAGTATTGCTTCGCCAGCGCCGTGGAGCCAAAGTAGATCTGGCGACCTTCATAAAGAACCGCAACCTTGTCGAATACCTAGACAAGTATGAGTCAACAACGATATACGCCAGGTTTGGGAGGAGGTACTGACATCATAGGCTGGCTGTGAGGCCTGATACATCGCGACAATGGCCGAAGTCTTGGCCATATCGGTAGACAACCGCAGAGTCCGAGCAAACTCCAACGCGGTAGCACTATCCAACCCACGAGTGCTGTTGTCCCAGCATTGAATAGGGCTCTGGCTGAGCGTGACCTCCGCAATACTGACGCGTTTGCGCTCGCCCCCGCTGACACCTGCGAAGAGTTAGTGGAGCTTGCCTCAAAGCTGTCAAAGGCTTGAGCCACTCACCACGGACGAAGTCGTTTCCGACCTTTGTGTTGATGGTGTGGGAGATGCCGAAAACTGCCATCACGACGTCCCGCAAGTGTTCGGCGTATCTCTGTCTGCTGACGCCAGGAAGTCGATTCTTTGGCGTTCTTGCTAGTGAGGCGAAAAGAAGTGTCTGTCCAACCGTGAGGTGGGGGAAGTGGATGTCTGTTTCGGCCTGGTAAATCACTTCACCGCGGAATCGTTTGTGCATAGTTTCCATTGGGATGCCTGTTTATGATGAATTGTCAGTCAGCTTTCGTGAGAACATAGCATATAGCACCCCTAACAGAGTTTGGGAGGCATTGTTACTGACCCTGGTAACTGAAGTGTGAGTGGTCCCCCAAATGAAGACCCTGAGTCTCACCAGCGATCGTCTTGAGCAAGGTAGAAACACCACTGCCGGGACGGCCCAGCACCAAGAGCATCTCACCACTCTTGACGATTCCGTCAAACTCTCTCAAGATGTCAATCTTTTGGCGACGGTTGCTGAGAGCCTGCTTGATCATCATTGGTGCTTGCCAGAGGACGTTAAGGACATCCTTCTGGTAGTCCGTGTCGGTGCCGTACCCATGAACACTCAGGTTGCGATACGCGACTCCAGCTTCAAGTCTTGGGTAGTCCTCGGGATGATGATATGAGTGTTGTAGAAGGGCTCGAGCCCACTTCTTGGCGTTGAACTCCTCGCGACAGCTTGGATCCAGGGCAGGGTGGTCCGATAGGAACGGGTTGATACCAGGGTCGAGTCTTGACGCTGAGCGAATAAGATCGAGACTGTAAGGCCTGACGAGCTCGTTGACCTGGGCATCGTTGGCTTCAATGTCCATGTCATTCCTCTGGTGATCGTGTTCCTGAATGGCTTTGGCGTGCAAGGTGTCATCCGACGGTTTGGACATGACGTTGCCGCTGTCACCCTGCGGGCGATGCATCTTGTGAGTTGATTTGATAAATGCGCAACGTGCAGATAAGAAAGAACCTGAGAATCGCAGAAGAGAGGAGGCTCAAGTAACGTCACCTAACGGGGATCAATGGCAAGTTATATCCTAATAAGCTTCCCAAAAGAGGCGCCCACCTTGTTAAAAATAAGTTTTCACGTTCAACACAAGGCAGACATGTGAAAACAACAACACAGCTACGCATTTCTAACGTCAATACCTACTATCAACGGGTCGACATGGGCAGAGAGGCCCCGATGAGCAGGGACCAGATCACTAGCTTCACGTCACGCTGCCGAAGCTAACAGCTCGCGAGCCGAGCCTGATGGTCGACTTTCCATGTTTTGGCTGCATATTGTGCGGCTTTGCTGATGTAGAGCAGCCGTATGAATCAAGTCGGCGCCGAGGGAGGAGGACTAACGCAAAATGAGTTGACGATGTTGACGAGAAAGCACCCACGCGCGCCGCAAAGATCCTGAATGCAGATCCCGGGATGGCGGCTTTGTGAAGTGGCCCGATGCGTGCGCAAAGTTGCCCGATCCGGCATCTCGGCGCCGAGGCTCTACACCCACATGGCAGTCGAACTTCTCCAAATCTCCACTCTCCTAAAAGGCAAATAAGGAGCCGAGCTCCTTTCACCATGAGCTGAATTGTCTTGGTTCCCCCGTCCCCTTGCGAACCAAATCCTCGCATACTTACAGACCTCGTCTCCGACCTACTCGTCTTCGTTTCTCGGTGTTGTTTTGCTTCTCAGCCTGCATTTTCATCTCATCCTCTGCGAGCCGAGAAGATGACTGCTGATAAGCCCGCGCCCAGTCCTACGGGTGTTGGTGCTGGATCCCGAACCCACAAGTCCTGCGATGCTTGCAAGTCACGCAAGGTTCGCTGTCCTAGTACGTGACTCGGGAGAGCTCATTGTCATTCCTATTCTTCATTCACGAACTGACGAGTTGATTTTATCCATAGGTAACGGCCCGCCCGGACCTTGCGCGAATTGCATCGTGAGTAAACCCGAATGGATTCTCTTCCCTGACAAAGACGTGCCCGTTTACTCACAAACTTTGAACCTGGAAGCGTCGAAAAGAAGAGTGTCGCTTCAGTGTAAAGAGGCTAGCCCACAGGCGCAACGGTAAGCACTGGCAACTAAACACTCACCATATCACGTTTACACTCTTTTGATGAGCAAGCACAACAACTCCGGTCGATTTCTGTGGCAAAGGATTTCAAAGTACTAAGCAAACTATCAGTCGCCGGACAGCTTCTGCCAACAAATTATTCGCCATCGAGTAATCGACCACCCAGTCTCCCAGACGCCAAAGCCGTGCTAGACTTGTCGACATCAGATGGAGAGGCCAAGCCACTCGTCCTCCCTGATCGCACGTCGCCAAAGTCTCCTCCCCACCGCATCCAAGAACTCCACGTCGATCGCGTCCTAGCACGAGCACAGAGGCCAAAGACCTCTACTGGAAGAGGCCAGGAGGAAACCATGTTTGTACCAGTAAGCACCACTAGTCAAAATTCCAAAGCAATTGACCGCAGAGGTGAGCAAACTGTAAGCTGACAGAAATCTCACAGCGCAATGGCATATTTGGTATTGAAGCGCCACATGCCCTCAGTGGCCTACACGTACTAACAGGTCAAGGGGGCCGGAACAGCCTCACGTTCTTCTCCGACAACAGGCTACTCTCCCTGTCGACGCGCCTCCAGAATCAGAAGGTGAACGAGCTCGTTGGTCGAATTTCTGTCATTGTCAATGGACGTCTTCGTCGCACCGACTCGGCAGCGACGAATCCCCGGAGGACGCAACCTCCCGATATGGGGACCGACAGAGCGCGTGCCGCCTTGTACATCCGCCGTAATTATTTGCCATTCTCCCTTCTGTAACCCCCCATTGAAGTTGGCGAAAGCTGATCATGATCAGTCTACTTTGAGCGAGTGCATCCCATGTTCCCGTTCCTTGACCGGACGACTTTCGAGACTACAGTGTCAAGTCCCAACTTCCCCAATCTCCTCGAACGCAGCAAGCCATGGTGTTGTCTCTACCACAGCGTCCTTGCTCTAGGGTCCCAGTATGCTGATGGAGGGACATTCGAGCCTGGTAAGGGCGAGTCGTGGCGGCTGTTCTCTATCAGCTTGAGCGGCTTCTCGGAGCTCCTGCTGCTTCCTGATTCTCTCACCACCTTGCAGGCATTGACGGCCATGTCTGTCTATGGCTTAGGGATCTCGGGCTTGGCTGTTGAGCCTGTCATCATGTCAGAGGCGGCAAGACGGGCTCAGATGATGTCCAGTCATAGCTTTACTGGTCCAACAGCTCACGCTTACCAGAAGTCTTTCTGGATTCTATATGCGGTTGAGAAAATCACCAGCTTCCACTTTGGGAGAAGTTCCGTAAGTGCTTGGAATTTCCCTCTCTTTACCACGATAGCGTCATACTATGATGGATGCACACTTCTTGTTTACTTGCTCTGCACTGCTGACAACGATAAGGGATTCGTCGATAGCGACATATCCTGTCCCATCCCCGTCGTCCCCGAAGCAACATCGGGAGACTTTAGCTGGTTCCTGCACCTAGTGCGTTTCGCTCGCCTCCTTTCTCGAGCATATACATCACTCTTCTCGGTCGGCGTGTCGGGCAACTCCGACTCGTACTATCTCGACGTAATTGACCAATTAAACGGTGAACTCGAAGAATGGAGAGCATCTCTGCCAGACAATGGCTTCCGCCCGGGTGGAATTCTACGCCCTCAAACCGTATCCGGTCCTAATGCGAGATCACTCGCTCTCATTCTTCATTATCTTTACTACAGCATGTTACTGACTCTTGCGAGAACTACGCTGTGCTATTTGCCTGTCCCTGAGACGCCGGCGGTGAAAGCGACAAAGGACGACAAGATGAAGACCATTTTGAATGCATCGAGGGCAATTTTGGAGTTGACTACGATGATTGAAGTTGAGCCATACACGGTCACATGGTAAGTAGAGAGCGAACTTCGAACTACACGTTTTCCCGCCGTTATCATCAGATCGGTGCTGACAGCCCGTAAGGGTCCTTGCGGGAATCCCTATTACCGCACTTTTTGTCTTATTTGACCTTGTGATTCATGATCCTCGGCAGCCAGATACAGGCACCAACCTGGCTCTGCTCGACATGGTTGCTGGTCACTTCAGTCGGATAGAGTATGCCAGCGGCGGCACCGTGCCCGGTTCTTTGATAGCCGAGTTCGCCAAGATTGCGCGAGACTACGTGAACGAGATTCAGCATGCCGAGGCTGGTTTGATAAATCCTGCGAGACCACATGCACCCACAAATCCTTCCACGATGCAAATGGTACAGCAATCGTCAGAGCTTGATGCCAGAAACAATAAACAAGTGGATAGGCCATCTCAGATGACTTTGGATCTATCTGATGTAAGTTCTCGGCCTCACAAGGTCTGCCATTCATCAAGGGAAAAAGCGTCTAATCATCATCTGCGTTAAAAGACTCTGCCGAGGGAGGCCATGATGTCTGGTCCGATGCAGCAACCAGGATACACCGACTTTGCGTTCGACAGCGGGATGGGCCAGGTATCTCCTAGTGCGCTCATGGGAACCGACGTGATGGGAATCTTTAATTATTTCTTGCCCGATCTGGACCCGATGTTTTACCAGGGTATGACGCAGGAGTACGATCTGCTACCACAGCAGCATGGAGGGACCGTTCAGAGCATGGACAAGTGAGATGATGCGGACGGGGTCCAATTCTTAATCTCCGTCCGTTTGCCAGGCCGGATGCAGCATGACATAACCTTATTTTTTGGAGCTATAATAATGCATGCCCCCAACGGATACTAGCAGCTACCTTAGTTGCTACGCCCGGCAGTCGAGATCGTTGCCAGGCATAATGACGAAATGCTTATGAAGAACAAAATCGAACGTTCGCTGGAGCAACCCTCCAGGATGAAAAAGCAGGTAAGAAGAATGCGTGTGTGTGTGGGTGGGAGATCACTTGTTCTTCGGTGGCAGTGAGCTCCGGGATCCCGGGCTTCGCTCCGGTCCGCTGCAAGGATCAGCCGGGTCTCGGACGGTCCAATGCAGCCTAGCGTCTCCTCCAAAGTCCGTTTGGTGGATCCCCAAATGTCGTGGCCCCCTGTCTTTTTTCCCGCAGAAAAGCGGCACGTTTAAAAGAGTGTTGCCGCCAACAGAGCAGAGCTCGGAAGAGAAACATATCATGCGATGAACGACAACAACTCATACACTTCTCTAATATCTGACGAGCCCCATATTCTCATCTGTAGATCTTGATGGCATCCGAAAGCCCAGCTTCACAGGCGAGTACTCCGGTAGGCGACAAACCACGCAACGTCTTGGCCTGCGTCTTTTGTCACCAGCGCAAAATCAAGTGTGACCGAAGATCCCCCTGCGCCAACTGCATAAAGGTTGGTTTGTCATCATCTCACTCACCCTTCAGCCGATGGACCCGAGGTCTACGCACACCCACACCGAGGCGCAACGCATACTCACTGATGTGATCACGATAGTCTGATCAACCGTGCGTGCCATCGACGCGAGCACCACCAGGAGCTGGTAGAAGACGCGTGGTGAAGGACCTGTTGGAGAGATTGAATCAGTGTGAGAGTCTTCTGAGCCAGGTGGCTCCGCGCGATGCCGATGGCCGCCCCGTAAATCCCGACACGCCGGGTTCCTCACGCGATGTGGCGGACAGCCCGGCAATGTCCCACATAAGCTACGAAGAAGCCCGGAAACAACCCAGCTCGAGACCGAATGGCAAGATTGTCTGCGATGAAGGTCGACCAACATTTATGGAAAATCCGTTTCGCGGCAATGTTCTTGACCACGTAAGTGCACTGTATTTCGATCAAACCATAAGTCCCACCCAGTAAAGATCTAAGTGGAATCTAGCTCCAATTCTCCAAGCTCAGTCTCGAAGACAATGACACCGAGCAATCAACGAACCCGTCTGGTTCTACTAGCGTCTCAGAACGCGGCGACTCAACTCACCAAAAGTCTATGGACTTTGACATATTAGCTCTGGGACCAGTCGAAGTTCTGCGCCTGTGGCAGGTATTCCTGGAACGAGTCAACCCTATGATCAAGGTCATTCACGTCCCTAGCCTGGAACCTCTAGTCTTTGAAGCAGCAACAGACCGCTTCAACCTGAGCCCCGACCTCGAGGCTCTGCTCTGCTCCATCAACGTTGTTGCAATCATGGCCTTGTCGGAAGCGGAATCAATCCAGATGCTCAAACTCGAAAAGGCAAGAGCATTACGAAATTCAATGTCTGCACTGAAAAAAGCCATGTCCAAAGTGGACTTTTTACGAAAGTACAATATGACCACTTTGCAGTGCTTAGTGCTATACCTGGTAAGATGTCTGTCCCACACAAGCATGACTCTGATCTAAATGCAGGCTAGGTGTCTCTTCAGGGGCAATTCGATCGCCATGCCGCATGGGTGTTGACCGGCATGCTAGTCAGGATAGCTCAAAGGATGGGTCTTCATCGCGACGGAGAACTCATAGGTCTTCAACCATTCGAGACCGAGATGCGCCGCCGAATCTGGTGGCAAATCATCATGCTAGAAACAAAATACGCCGTCCTCGCAGGCTTCGGCGACACGCTCCTCCCGCCTAACTGGGACGCAAAACTCCCATCGAACGTCAACGACGCCGACTTACTACCCGGCTCAACAGAGCCGGTCAAGTCTCGCGATGGAGCAACCGAGATGGCATTCTGCCTCATGCTCTACGAATCACGCGCCTTCTTCTGCGACAATCCGATGCCGGAGTTCGAATCAGTCATCCTCAGCGGGGACAAAATCAGCCCGGAGAACTCGAGGAAATTCTCCGGTCAACCACATGTCCTCGACAGGTATCGACTCGCGTTAGACCAGTACGATGAGAGACTCGCTGTGGCTGAACGACGGTTCTGCAACCCGACGGCAGGCGGCATACATCTCGTTGCGAGTAAGATCCGGTCTTTCACGGCGCAGAGGATGCGCGACATGATTATGCACGCGCGAGAGCCATGGGACGAGAACAAAGACGGCGGGGCGAGCCAGCAATCCTTCTTCAGAGCATGGGTCATCTCCTTCGAGAGCGACGTCAGCTGGTACGACACAATCGACGACAAGTTCACCTGGTACCTAAAACTACACTTTCAATCTGATGCTTTCTCCGTCATGATTGAGCTCCTACAGTGGCAGCCCGTCGGAACACTGGTTGACAGGGCATGGAAGGCCATCGACCGACTCTATCACCACCACCCGGAGATGTACGACTTGACTAGGAAGGACAACTTGCTGCGCGCGGAAAACTTGCTTGCAGGGTGGGCACGACGGGAGCTTGCCTTCCGAAATCTAGGCATGTCGTGTGACACGCCGCTCGTTGTGGCACGGTTCCGGAGCAGCGAAGTTTTCAAGCAGAGACAGCCCGACGGTTTGCCAGTTGAGCAGTGGCCGGCACCGACGCCGGACACCGCGCTGTTCTCTGACATGAGTCCATCCGACTTTGAGACGTTTGATGGCGGGATGCCTGGAGATACTCATGGTCTTAACTTCAGTCTTTGGGGTGGTGGTGGGCCGGGGCAACATGCTCTATGATGAAGGTCCGGCTGGTTTATGGGTAGTAAATGGCTCGGGGAAAGGGGGTTGTGCGTTTCAAGCACACGACCATGACTTAATGACACTGAAGACGGCTCAAGGGTAGACTGTACCCAATAAGGAGTTTATTCTTTCAATCCAAGGGTCTTTAGGGCTCTTGGAATATCTTTGAATCACCTCTCAAAATTCACGGATAGATGTTTCGTACTTGCTCTGGCCTGGTTTATCGAGATGCTATAGCAAATTTATACGCGGGCTTCACGCGCAACTGGCTTCAAGTAGACATTCAGCGGTATTCTATCCCACAAACCAAATGCTCTTTGCCTCTGAATCCAGGACCCGTTTCCTTCGGCCAGTTGAAGATCAAAGTCAAAAACGATTCGGGCTAAAATCAACCTCATCTCTGCATACGCGAGACTGTTTCGCATAGGTTTCAGCGTCAGCGGCGATAATGGTTCAATGGATAGATGAGGAGTTCTTACTTCTTCCCAATGCAGTTGCGTGGGCCAACGCTGAATGCTTGAAGTGCGTCTAAATGGTTGTGTTCCTCTTTGTTAGTTTCCAGGAAGCGCTCCGGCCTGAACTCCCAGGGCTTAGTCCAGTTATCTGGACTATGGTTCGCGGACCATTGCTGGATCTCGATGAAAGTCTTGGAGGAAAGTCTGGATTAGTCACCTGATGGGAACCTCGAAAAGGAGAGTTGGTGTACAAGGCTACTTACTCCTTGAGGCACATGCTCTGCGCCAATCTGACACCCAAACTCCGGTACCTCTCGAATGAGGTTTGACGTCACGGGAGGATACATACGCAAAGCTTCATTGAGAACAGCGAGCATGTATGACAACTTGCTCACTGAGTTGATGGTGATCTCGCTAGAGTCGTTAAAGCTCGATCGTACCTCCTCGTTAAGTTTCTGCAGGACCTTGGTATCTCTTAACAGAAGATATGTCGTGCCGGCCAAAGTTGTAGCCGTAGTTTCCGAACCGGCGAGGACGAGAATGAGACCATTGGCTGACAGCTGTTCAAATGAAAGGTTCTGCGCACACAAAGTTAGCGCAAATTCACCTCCTCGAGGAGTGGCTTTGGGGGCCACATTCCCATTCTTCTTTCTTTCTCAAGAGTCCCTCGAACAAATCCTTCCGGTCAGGATCCATATCAAGACGCGTTTGCATCATCTTATCGGTGCTCTCACGTAACTGCATCATCGCAGCAAGACCACCGATCCGGAAGAGGCCTTGGACAACAGGATCAAGGCCAATATACTTCATCGCTGTCATGATGGCATTGTATCTGATAGTTTTGAAGATGAAGGCAATCCAGGGATGGTAGTCTGAGCGATCGAGACAGCCAAACGATTGCGCAAAGATTAGGTCGCCAGCAATATCGAACGTTGTCCAGTTATACCAAGCCTCCACATTAAGCGGCGCTTCTTTCCCATCGCAGTTCTCATGCAAGCGAGAAATCAGTTTGTCGATGTACTTCATGATAATGCCTTCTTGCGCTCGCATAGAGCTATCCGAGAAGCCATGAGATAGCGCCCGCCGGTACCGCTGGTGCTCTTCACGCTCGGCATTGATGATGCTCATGGGCAAATTCTTGATCGTCGTTGAGAAGAGCTGCGACTTGGGGATCTCGTTTTCCGCCAGCTCTTTCCCGATTTGAAAGCCGTATATGTCTTTCCAGGCCGTCACATCGGTGAAAGACAGGTGATTTGGGCTGATTCGGACTATGGGGCCATATCGGTCGTGGAGGAGCTGGGTTCGAAAGGCTTGATAGCCTGTGGCATGTTGCCAGGCCCAGATTAGAGGAGAAGCGCGTTGAAGGACAGGTCCTGGAAACCTTCGTAGGGGATGGAGGAAGAGGTTGTAGCCGGCTTGGAGGAGTTGCCAGAGGACGGCCTGGCAAGTCAGCCATGTGATTCTTCACTGAGGATATGATCTACTCTAATCTTGCATAGGAATGCTAGTCACTTACTGTACCAAAGGCAATAGCCAGGATATGAGAAGGATGCTCAGAGAGAATGGACAAAACACCCGCCATTTCCGTAGTCAAATCTGGAAAGGTTAGCTTCTCAAGTTCTGTGATAATCTTCTTGCATCAACGAGAAACATCAACCCCGCGTTGGCGTTGACGCGTCGGTTATGTAGATTCATCCCGAGTACGAGCCTTTCCGAGCTCCGCCCCTGGTGACAAACACGTTCGCTTCTTGCCCAACGCACACACCACTTGGTTCTGCGTCAAACAATCAGTCACCTTCCATTAAGGGGACGGGCTCTGCCCTAGGCGCAAAAAGTTTGGGGTCATCGGACGGTTGTTTCAATACCACGTTTCTTGCGCGGACCAATCCACTGTCCGGCTTTGTCACATTCATGCATGCAGCAACCGTAAATATGCACGGGGGAGGTTGAGACGGTTGGCCATCTGCCAGTGTTACTCCGCATTGGTGTTGCACGACTTGATGTCCTGGTCATTGCCTTCCAGCATGGGGCACTTGTAACATTGTGGAATCAACGACAAATGAGAGTGATTGCGCAAAGATGGCAAGCAAATGAAAGGCATAAGTTGGAGATTCTTGCGCTCTTGAACGATTAGTCGACTTTCAACATAGCTTACAAGCCCCAGACTTGATTACTTTCCCAGTGCGAGATGACAGAAGGCAAAGACACATGGAGATCCTCCCGCGGCTGGCTGACCCTTTTCTTATCCTAGCTTCAGCCGTTAGGATCACCGAAGTTGATGTCATTCTTGATTGACAACTTACCAGTCGCCTATCAAAACTCCGAGATGACAGTGCCAGCCCCCTTCTTCTCCGCAATATCCAGAATAGCCGTCCCGATAGCCAGATCCGTCGTACTGACACCGATACTTTTGTAGATGATCAAGCCATCCTCCAATGTCGATAGCGATTCCAGCTTCTCCCCTCGTTTCCGTGAAATCTCGATTTCTCCAATCTCCACTATGTACTCTGCCGCGAGTTTGCTCTGAACGATTTCGCCAGAGTGCTTAAGCGCAGACTCGCGGTCGTCGACTAGCACAGCAACCTTTGAACCTTGTTCGCGGAGTTTCCCACCAGCGGCGTTGGTTGCCTGGACGAGCAGTTCTGGGTCTACTTCCAACATGTCCGCCTGCCAGGACCCGACGGCAGAAATGTATGGATTTCTTTCCTTTCTTCCGTTTGTGACATAGTGTGCCGGAAATACTGGGCTTTTGGTGCCGACTGTGCAGAAAATGGCGTCTGCTGCGGCGAGACGATACTGAAGTTGAGCGTCGTACTCGGAGCTAGAGGAACTCAGATACTCAAACTCGGCGGTAGACTTCCAACGACCTTGGTTCTCCTCCTTCAATCTCGAGATGAGCTGCTGTGCGCGCTCCGCGGATCGATTCGCCACGGTAATAGTCTTGATCTCGTCGCCCCTCAATGATAACGCGAAGCGAAGATGCCACAACGCTTGCTTACCAGCACCGAACACAACAATGTTATCAGTATGGCTCCGCCATAAGTATGGCACAATGGCAGAGAGCGCCGTGCGATATCCTGTAACCTCTTCGGCGTTGAGAACGCCAAGGGGTAGGCCGTCCTGGTCGCAAATGGAGATAATGCCGTGCAAGCTGTTAGCTGCTGGGGATGAAGGAGCCGGGGTAACGACGATCTTAGTTCCAAAGGCACCGGCGGAGCTGAAGGGTCGGAAGAGGCATTTCATGCCCTCAGGTCTGTTCACTATGGATGCATCGGGCTGATAGTCGCGCTCCGCGCCCTCAGAGAGCTCAATCAGCGCTCCCACAAGCCGATCTCGGAGCTGGAGAATGCCAGCTCTTGGAAGATTGAGCAGAATATCGAGAACAGCAGCGTCGCTGAGGACTCTGAATTTACACATGGTGAATGGTGAATAAGATGCTCAGGTTTGCAAAAGGCCGCTGAACAGTCAAAATCGTGAGGGGGTCGTAGTGTGGAGAAGTCTCGCGAAAGAGGCACAGATACTAGTATGTTGACAGTGACAAGACCTTATCAGCACCTTGTCACCTCTTGATAGTCAGTTGGGTCACTGCGATAACGAATGTGAGTAGACACATCGACAGTCTCCGTAGTTGGGCGGGTTACGGCAGTTTAGTTTGTCTTCAACCGTCAGGCTCGGCGAGACCTACCGGATTTAATCCCACCGGCACGGCATCCGATGCGGGGAAATGGGTCGCTGCGGCGGTTAGCTGAGCCGCTCGACGGGGTCCGTTGTGGGCTCCAGTTAACCGATTGCGAGCGGGTGATACGAAAGTTCAGGTGTAATACGAGCCGGTTCCTACTCCGTCAACGAGCCTCCTCTCCGTCTCACCGGCACATGAACCGTTCAATTCATTTTCCATGCGTTTGTGAATGAAATGTCTATCGGCCTCAAAGCCTATTAATACCTACTATGCAGTACTTATAGGTTTGAGCACGAAGACGCGGATACCTAGATCGTGAGTCTATTGTTCTTCTCATCTATCATCTTTGAACCATCACACCATGACTATCGGCCGTACCTTCAACGTCGTCGGCGCCCACTGTGGCGGCGAGGTCTGCGACGTCATCGTTGGGGGTGTTCTCGACGTCCCAGGCAAGACAATGTTTGAAAAAATGATGCATTTCTGGAAAAAGGCAGACCACCTACGAAACCTGCTGATGAACGAACCCCGCGGCTCATCATCCATGTGCGTTAACCTCGTCCTTCCACCTTGCAATCCCGAAGCCGACGCGGGCTTCATCATTATGGAGCATGAGGAGTACCCCCCTATGTCCGGTGCCAACACCATTGCCGTGAGCACCGTCCTGCTAGAGACCGGCATGGTACCGATGCAGGAGCCTACTACGACACTGCGCTTGGATACGCCAGCAGGTTTGGTCACGGTCAAGGCCGAGTGCAAGGACGGCAAAGTTACGTTTGTGGAGTTTCAAAACGTTCCGGCTTTTGTCTATGGCCTAGATCTAGACATCAACGTGCCGGGCTTCGACACGCCCGTAAAGGCCGACATTGCATGGGGTGGAATGTGGTATGCGCTGGTCGACGCGAGTTCAGTAGGCCTACAGATCAAAACGGAAAATGGAAAGGAGTTAGTCGACATCGGCGAGCGAATCAAGAGGGCTATCCAAACGCAGACGAGCCCGGTGCATCCCGAAAACCCAGAGATCCGAGGCGTCAGTGTCTTCGAATTCACGGACCCGCTCTCGCCCTTCGCGCCGGACACGCAACAGACGGCCGTGAACACGGTGGTCGTATCACCGGGAAGACTCGACCGGAGTCCGTGTGGGACAGGAACGTGTGCCCGACTAGCGGTTCTCCATAAGAGAGGCCAGCTCGCAGTCGGAGGATCGTTCCGACACCGCAGCGTGATTGGGACCGAGTTTATCGGAACGGTAAAAAGTGAGGCAAAGGTCGGGGACTACGATGCTATTATTCCCGTGGTGAAGGGAACTGCCTGGATAACGGCTTTCAAGCAAGTCATCTTGCACCCCACAGATCCATTCCCGGAAGGGTTCAGGGTTGGAGATAAGTGGCATGTCAGTTAGAAGATTCATGTCCCGTAGATCTTGGCTACTTTTGTAAATGTTATTTAAGTGATCAGCACAAGTCATTTCACCCTGTTTTTCTCCAAGGAAGTTTTCTGTTTCAGCCTTCTCTAACACACTCGATCTGCATTTCTGCCCGTCCTAATGTAGGTTAGGGGCGCAGTCACATATTGAAGCCACAGCCAAGCCGGGATATCGTACAGGCATGTCACAACATATTGAGGTCCGAATTATCCAGGAATAGAACTAGTGGGTATATTTCAAAACGCGTGGGTCTAATTGGATCGTTCTCCCGCGGACAAATTTGCTCGCCTAACCCATTTGATCATGCGAACATGAGGCTTAATGGGCCGAGGACACAGAATTTGAGTTGTCGGCGCAGGAAAATGCGGCCGATCCACCAGACTTCTTGTAGCTGTCCATGATTCCAACAACTGAGCCGTACGCTCCAGCAATCATCAAAAAGGTGCCGCTAATAACAACGAAGCAGCTGAAGCAGACCATGGCGATCCATCTAGGTCTCTTCTCGAGCTTTCCCTCGGCCCAATGGTCGTACAACCACATGCAACCCATGGGCTGGAAAGACAACAGAGTACCGAAGAGGGCACCGACGAGGGATACCAGGCCATCAAAGACGGGAATGGAGCTGGCAATGACGTAGGCGGTGATGGCGATGCTTGCAGTGCAGGCGAGCCAGATACCCCAGTGCTTCATGGTGTTCTCGGTCAAGTGACGAGATCCACGTAACAGGCGAATGAAGATGTACTTGGCGGGCAACTGAGGACACAAACGTTAGCATTGATGCTTGTTGGTAATCGGGTTGTAAGTTTGGAATCTACTTACGTGGATAACCAGAGTAGTGGTAACAATCAAGCCGGGGAAGGCAAGACCGTAGCAGACTCTCTTCATGGTCGCACCGGCGGAGCCAAGAGCAGGCGAGGCGACGTAAGAACCGCAGAAGTAGTAGACAACGCATCCGATGGCAATGTAGGTGGCAGTCACACCACCCTGGCAGATGACCAGAGCGCGAGTGTAGTGGCGAGGATCGCGCATCTCAGAGACGATGGAGAAGAAGGCAGGAGTACCGGCGAAGGCAAAGACGAGCGTCGAAAGCGCCGAGGAAGCCTGGGCGAAGGTCGGGCTTCCGACGACCTTGTAGTCCGAGGTCCAGTGTCCGGTCTGGGGAGCGGCAGCCGGTCGGTCCTGTACACCCACGGCAACGGTGACGGTGAAGACTGCGTATGCATGGTCAGCTTCTGAATCTGGTTTTTCCTCCAAAGGGGTTTAGCGGCACTCACTGGCAGACATGATGCAGATGAGACCGACCCAGGCGAACCAGGTAATCTTTCCGAGGGTCTGGATGCTACCGAAGCAGAAACCAATCGCTGCGGCAATGGCGACGAAGCCAGCCGTGCATGCACCGTGAAGGGAAACCGAGTTGAGCGCGATCGAGGCACCTAGCATACCAGAGCCGGCAACGAAGATCCAGTCTGATCGGGAG